TTATTCCTTTATCCTATATGAATGGAGATGCTTTAAGATTCGACCGTTAAACCGATGGATGGAAACGGATTGCAAATGGATTATTCGAAGTCACCTCATTTTCCATATATGAAAAATCTAAAACACGAACGTATTGCATGCTTGTGGACCATGTCCCTTTAAAGCATGGAATTTTTCATCAAATCGATAAAATCATTCGGCTTTTTTTTACATTGAACAACAAATAAATACTAACGTAAGTTTGTGACAAGCTCTACGCATGATTCTCTTGTAAGCTACACGGAAATGACGGATCTGCAAGCTGTAAACCCAAAAGTTCATTGAGGAATTACATAAAACAATGGTATGGCACAATGTAAAATGCTTCGAGATGAGCAGTCCGCACCATAGAAAGGACTTCGTATCGGATAGGAATATGACGATACTAGAAATCCAGCAAGCGAGGAAAAGCAACATCATGATTCCGATTGTTTTAGAAACCTTATTTTCCATGATCCTTCTTTTGTGCACGATAGTTGTCGACACCGTTGCCAAGGCAGGGCCGTTTCTACTGCACGTTATTTTGTAAAGAACTATTCCATATGAAGTCAATATGATGACCGCGCTCAGTACAGCGATGATTAATCCGATTACTGGGATGGCAATTGGTATACTAGAGGTCGCAAGGGCGAGACAGATGCAGCAATAAACCACAGCAGCTCCCCAACTGACCCTGATCATCGTCTTGTACCTGTGTTTATCAGCAAAGAACAGAGATATTTCTGTCTGGTCTTGATCGAGAAATTTATACGCAATTGCCTGTTCCAAAATTCAAAAACGGACTGGTCACAAACTCGATACCGTTTAAGTAATGGTCCGAGTAAGAAGCAGGCAAGCAAGCGGCAATGGAATGCATGAAGGTGCTAATTGTGTATTGTATAATCCATCCATCTCATTGGTTAAAACATTAAAATCTGACATAATTTCAAAAGTAATCGCATTTTTTAATATTTTATTTAATATCTGATTCTAACTTCATAAAAGCTTTCCTTAGCTTTAATATTAATAGCAATTCTATGTGGGGAACATAGCAAATTAGAGGCATCTTTTGGCTATTGTTTTGAGTGCTTATGATTGGACAAGATCTTTTAATACAAAAGAAACTTTGCTTCAAAACAGAGTTTATCCACATTTTATTTTAAAAATCTGTTACCCATAGGTTGATATATAATCAGTGTGAAAACCAAGACATTTGTATGTGGGGAAGTTGCAATTGCCGCAGAACAATAGAAGGTTGCCTGCTTTTTGCGCGCATTGTTACTTAAAGCAATGGAAAAGTAGATACAAGGGCAAGAAAGAACATACTAGAAATAGCATAGTTGTTGAGTTTGAGTGTATTCAGATTGATATTTACAGAGTTGCAAGCCTTTTAAACTCGAAAAAATTCAGTACAAAGAATGTATGAAGCACTTAAACAGAGTCCCCAAAAACCATACATTCTCTCTTATTTTTACAAATTCCTACTAGGTGAGTATTCAACAAAATAGTCTCAATCTTGGCAAGAACACTTATTTTAGTGTAGTCTTTCATGTGGTGAGATAAGGCTACGTTCACACGGGACCGGTTCCGTTGGGAACCGTTCTAGTTTAGGCGCGCGTTCACACTGGAACTCTGGAACTGGCCTCACCTGAGGCTGGCAAAGTGTTCAGGTTTGGGGCCCGCGGCTAAAAAGCCGATCCACTTTGAGGACAGGTCACTTCGAAGCATGAACGGATCCGTGTAAACACTGCTTCAATCCGTACCGAAATGTGGACGGTTCCGTGTGAACAGTGGGAACTGTCCTAAAACCGAGGTGTCCTCAAACTTGACCGGCCCCGTGTGAACGTAGTCTAAATTTTCGATAAGTGCACTATCTTATCTTAGCTTATTTAGCTTTGGTTTAGGAACTATAGTACAGAGGGGGTCATCACTGTCTGCTATCTTTTAGCGTTGTTGTGCAACCTTAATTTCAAGAGTCGTCCGTTGCAAGAAAAGAATATGTATTTCGTGTAGGTGGGTGGGGTCGAGGCCGGGTTCACGTTCATCTCCTTTAAGTTGACTTTTTTGCTCTATTAGTATTAACTTCATATTGAACTTACCATTTTTTGATGATGAAGCGATGCTGCCTTGGTTTTACAATGCAAATCGCACGATCAATGCTGATGGAAGTAAGATGAAATATCGAAGTGCAGAGTGACAATGTGCCGAACGTAATATACACAAATCCGATATTTTTGATGCATCTTTTTGAAACCGCCCGAAACAAAAGTATAATGGCAAACGACGGCTGTGCAACCATCGAGCCTATAAGGTCTGCTACTGCTAAACTCAAAAGAATGAGATTCGACACCCTTCGTCGAATTTGAGGAGTGCTTCTGACGGCCAAAATGATGAGAATGTTTCCAAAAGATCCAATGGCAGAGCAAAAGAGATTAATCGCAATAAATGCCAGTGCCATTATCAGGTGAAATTCCTGGCTCGCCTCTACTGTGGAATTACTTTCGTTGGCAAAAGTGGAACCGTTCACAATTTGGAGTTGGATAATGCTATGTTTCACCATGCAACTTTCCTGTGCACCGTCTGGGTTAAAAGCTGGGCAAGTGGAAATGAGTTTGAAACTAAGTTAACCTTCCAGCTGCTTTGAAAACGTCTAGCAAAGCTGACAGCTGTCATTTATAGAATATAGAAGTCATTAAGAAAACCCCTCATTTTTTTTCCTTTTGATCTTTCCTCTGCAAGTTTTTTGGTTGAAAATTCAAAAGAAAATTACTCAAAGTTAACTCTGACTTCAGCAATTTGTACGTTTATGGAGAAGTGTTCACCCTCAGTATACTTTTGCTGTCTTCTTTGTAAGTTTTATGGCCGACAACGTCGAAGTTCAACAGAAGATTTGAAAAGTTCAAAATTTGCAAAGTTTCCTTTTAAACTCTTAGCTAGCAGGTTTTTGGAAAGATGCACTCATCATGTAGGAGTGAATAAAGGACAAAACGATAGTGTTAACTAGTGCATTAGCTATTGCCATAATGCTTAAAGAACAGTCATTCGTGCCGTCTCTCCCAGCAGGGAGCAAGCTAGGATCAATTTGGGCCAACGATGAGACAATGGTGTCTAATATAGTGTTAAGAGAGTTTTTCAACGACTTCAAGAACGAATGCTCAAGCAACTTAAGTGCAGTTGTTATCTGAAAAAAATTCTAGCAGAAAACTTACTATTATCTCAAGATGACATATTTTATCGATTCATAAACGATTGACTACGGCAATGAGCTTTTAATTGGTAAATTTGATTCGATTCAAGTGCTATTAAAGATCTTGAGATTGTATTCGTATGAACTGAAAGCACTGATCAGTCCAGCATATCATTTAACTTCATCTCCCTGTTAATAATTTAAACATAAAAGAAATAACATTTATTCATCGTTTTTATTGTCTTGCACTATTTGACCTATTTCTATGACGTTGCCTTCCTTGTAGACCTTTCCAAAGTAGTTTTCCAATGTTTGATCGACTAGCAAAAACGCGTGATGGTTGTCGGTGATCAGACAGATTTTGGTTAAGCTTTCAGACAATACTCTCTTCTCAGTTAGCAGTTTTTCGAGATCATTCAATGAAGGTTATTGTGGAAATAGACCGATCAGCCAGCGGCTATTATTCCATTCAGAAACAGATTGACGTATGGTTGTCTTTCAACGATATCATGCTAGCTTGGGAGAGGTTATTTTCTTTCCTACTGGAATATACGACAGATCAGGCTCTGCACCTGCAATTTGCGAGAACGGTTTTGAAAAAATAGAAACTGATCTTTTGAAAAGAAAAAAATTCGTAAATAGTAAGAATTTAAGAATTTAGCTATCCTGTTCTCTGTGTAGCAGAAGCGATGCGTCTTGTTTATCTGTTTTACAGAGATCAAATTGTAGTAAGATGAGTAACTCCGCTGCGAATCGCGGGCTCCGACTATCGAAATTTCAGCTGGACATTGAGACATGTCTATTTCATAAAACCCCTATGCACTACAATTGAGACATTTTGAGTTTCATCTGTAAACTCTTCAGTTGTAAAATGTTGATTTGAAGGGATTGAGAGGACTAGTTCTCCTCAACTAGTATAAAATATGGTGGGAACTAGCGGTAAAATTGTATCAGCTGCGTCGGTGTTTCTAAAGAAACAGTTGTGCAAAATGATAAATTTATCACCGTAAAAAAAAATTGATGAAGCAACATAGTTTGAAATGTCACAAGTTTTATCTAAATTTCTGAATATTTTGCACACAATCGAGGCTAACACAGCGTAAAAGAGATCGCGAAACTCAACGATTCGTGGCATTGCTCGTTCCGAAATTCAAAAAGGGACTGGTGACTAGTCACAAACTCGATACCGTTTGAAGAAATCAAAAAAGAAACACCAGGACAAGAAAGAGCATACTAAAATTAGTAAAGCTGCTGAGTTTGAGAGTATTCGGATTAATAATTACAGAGTTTCAAGCGTTTAAAACTCGAAAAAATTACAAAGAAATGGAGGTTTTGAGCAGCGTCCCCAAAAACCATGCATTCTCTCTTRTTTTTACAAATTCCAAAAAAATCCTGCTCGGTGAGTATATATTCAACCAAATATGCTCAAACTTGACAAGAACCCTTATTTTAGTGTGGTCTTTCATGTGGTGAGGTTCAGTTTTCGATGAATGTAATATTTTCACACTCGTTCCCAGTCTCCTTTTGAATTTCGGAATGTCCAATTCGTGAAGTCAACTAGTGAAAATTACGTTATAAAACTCTTATGTACAAGTGTATCTTATTTCGATTGAAAGACTCAACAAAGATTGAAAAATGGTTGTTTGTCAASAAATATGTGCTGCATTGACAACTGGCCAGTGGTCCTTATACATTCAGGCATGCTCCCATTCTTGAAAAGATACTAGAAACAAAATCAAAAGGAAYTAATTTACTTTTCTATCAGAGTGAGTGACCTCAGACTTGTTAAACAGCAGTCTCAGTTTTTGTAAGGTTTGAAGATAAGCATGAATGTAGTTTCCAGAAGGTCCAAGTGTTAGGTCTTAACTGCACGCTTAACCTCGATTCGGATAAATTTTGTAGACCTTTGTCATAATTTTTTTTTTTGTGCTTTCTTAAGGCCTTTGCTCAAGGGGATCTGCTGTCAAATAAACCAGCGGTTACTGACTTTCAACGGGAAACGTCACGTAATACTGTTTTGAAGGTCTTTACCTTAAATGAGTTGGACGTTGCATGTACGTACGTAGTGCTGGTAACGTTATCCGCTACTGCCCAGCCAAACCCATTTAGCCGTCCGTTATTATACAGCAGGAAGACTGGGAAAAGATCCCGGCATGCAGTTAGGGTTGATATGTCGTACCAGTAAATCTGACCTATTGAGAGAAAAGTGTGTTATCGACTAATTGGACCCTACTGCTTAATGGCAGGATTTTATTGCGCATGCTTGTATATGCTCATTTGACATCATAAAAGGGCAGTGTTAATTTGATTGGATTATATATTTGTTTTTCCAAATCTTCAGGCTCACCCATTGACCAAAAGCAGCCACCCTTGACCCACTTTGTTCCCATAAGGCTTTGCTCCTTCATAGGTACTTTGATATAGCTTGCGGAAGACCCATTTTGAATCAAAAGCTGGTTCCCAAKRCTACTCYGATTACTCGAGCAGACGGAAACCGGGTCCTGGAAGTAAGCTGTGATGACGTAATAGCCTTTCTCGCGTTTCCAGGGTAACAMTTTTCGCGACATCTTTTTCTTTGAGATCTGTAATTTTGTAAATACAACTTATTTCATTAAAACACTTCGTAACGAAAATTTTTATAATAACCTACCCCTCCCTGGATTCCAATAACTTTGTCCGCTCCGTCGTAAAGCAGCATGATTGCTCGGTCATTCCCGAGTATGTATCGATTRCCTCTGAAGTAGTTCCGATCTGGAATAGAATTTTATATTTAAACCTAAAATCGTTCAATCTCTTTTTTTACTGCTCTGTGGTTCTTTCTATTCGGTTTTGTTTTGTCTTAATCATTTCGTGTCTTTCGTTTCKTTTCGCTTGTTTTTATCGAATTTTGTTTCGTTTCGTTTTGTTTTGGCATACTTACTGTTGCATCGTTTGTTTCGTACCCAGCCCTCTTTTCCAGCTTGACTTGTTGTCATTGGCAACTGAATCCATTTAAGCCACGTGACTGTAGGGACAAAATCTTTTTTACAACCTTATTTTAGTGGATGAGCGGTTTTTTTTCTCTCTTGTACACACCTCAACACTCAACGATAATCGATCAACCCCAAAATTTGTGCAAAWTTTAAAAACTAGGAAAATTAGAAGTATTTCGTCCACCAGCGTCGCGCTATTTTGAATGAARTTTTTGCTACCAAATATGGTATCATGAATATGCTTATTAGAGTTGAGCGTTCTGGCAGTGCCTAAGACGTTTCAGTTGAGTTTCTCCGTGTACTAAGCTAGTACGTAAAACTAGTCAACGTCTTCAATTCCTTTGATTGTTTTTATTCRATGTCACTTACGCGTCGATAGATTGTCAAGTGTCGGCCCACGTTATCWCTAGTGATAATACTTTTTCAAGGGTTCTTTAGACTTAAGTCATGTGATCCACYTCTTAACTTTTGATTTTGATTTACCCTATGGCATAATTACGTCAAACTAAACATTGTATGACAGAGTGAAAAAGAATGACGGCATATCAAAGACGGCGAGCAAACATCGACTGCGCGTGGTATATATGAAAGGTAGATAAATTGAGACAGAGAATATTATTAGGTCCATATTCCCACTGTTTCTGAACATTTATTCCCTCTGTAAACAGCCTGTGACGYCATTATGCGAGAGGTTAATTAACGGAACAGAGGGATTGGTTCGAGTGGTTTAAAACTTGTTGCCAATTTTTTTATTGTTGCTATTGTGTTGTTGTTGTTGTTGTTTCTTTTTTTTTTTTCAAAAAATGTTTTACTCACCAGAGATTTGATTCCACGCCGATTCATTGGAATCTGTTGAATGTAAAGGTTGCCTTTATGAARATAGTTGAATGTACTAATAAGTGCAGTCAAAGCCAATTTATCATAAAGAACTGCGCGATATTTATCAGGAAGGGAGTTGAGAATCCAAAATCTTGTGCTTAAAGAGGGGAGGGGGGGGGGGGGGGGCAACGTCTAAAATTAACTAAAACTTTCATTGGAAACTGAAAGTTTTTGGCCAAATACTTATTGAAGTTGAAAACGTCTCAAGAAAAGCGTGCCAGGATTTGCGACAAATCTTTATTTATGAATAATAAGTGGTCAAACATTCTTGAATCTCTCGCATGAATTTGAAGTGAACGACCTTATCTAAAAGAAAGAGCTCATGGCAATTTGGAAGGCTCTAAAGTATAGAGCTGAACTTCTTCTCTACATCATAATTTAGAAAAACAAGGAATGACTTAAAAAAAACAGCCGCAATTTTACGTTCATTTTTCTTTGTTTCTTCTTTGTCTTTTCTCCCTGTTACTTCTCGGAGTCTGTTTTGCGTTTGTTGACGTTTTATATCATGTGATTAAGGCTTCTATCCTTTGTTTTTTTCGTTTGTTTTGCTGCATATGATTACGCTTGCGATATATGGTGAAAACAGGGCTTCACTGAACTAACAAACTAGGTGACATAATACGCTTTGTATAGCAGTAGCCTCTTTGTATATGATAAATAAATAAATAAATAAAGTCTTTTATTTTGAGAGGGTAGCACGTAATAGTCTCTAGACTAATAAACTTGTGGCCCTCATATTCACTCACACTCACTACCTCAACATTCATTATTTTACTACACGACACTCCTCACAGCTAGTTTTTGACTGAGGAAGGAAAACCAGCGGACCTGGAGAAAAACCCTCGGAGCAAGGAAGAGAACCAGCCTACAAACTCAAATCACATATAGTCCCGGACCGGGAATCGAACCAGGACCACAGCGGTGATAGACCGGCGCTTTAACCGCTCGGCCATCCTTGCTCCCCCGATATAAGCGCGCTAGAGTACAAACATTAAGTGTGTGCAACATTTTCCACTATTTACTGCAAAACAGTGTTAATTAAACAATAGAAAATTAGCAGTATTTAGCAGTATTTAGTATTTATGTTGCAAAGTTTTAGTGTTTGTACTCTATATATGCTTGTTTAACTTAGTCTTACTTTGCACTGTTTTTCCMGATGATAGAGAGTTTTTCAAAGAAGTTCCGCCAGAAATTTCCAAGCCCAACAAAGCAACGAAAATAGCAAAAAATTTGGCCATAATTGTTAGAAAATCTTCAATTTTCTGTCTCCTTTGGCTGATTTGACAACGCAATTTATAACCCCTGGATGAGGCGTGCCTTAAATTTTCTCGAGGGATCTTCGTGATTGTGGCKTCACCCCCAAGCATCCGTTTAAAATATACTTAAGAGCTTAACTTCCTAACCAGGATGTTTTGCAGTATTTAGGAGTATTTAGTTTCGCGTCAATCTGACATGGCGTTGAGTGCAAAGCGACAGTTACTCTCATTGTGACGTCACTAGTAGCGTACTGTACAATCCAGGCTCCTGACTGACGCACGGTTGGAAGCAAAATGCTTTAGCTTGTTTTTGAATACCTGATGGATTCAGAATAGGACTCATRGTGGGGATGTCATTAAAGAGGCAGGACTCAAACTGTTTTTGGCGATAGCAAAGTTATTTTGATTCATGGGTTTTATAATGGTTAAGTGCAAGAGCGTTATGTTGTAGCCTTTGGCTATTTGGGTCAGCTTTCTGGAAATCGAATTTCTAAATTAGATCCGAGCGGATTAAAAATTGATTTACTAACTTAACTTTATAAAAAGTTACTTTTCAAGACATTTAAGTAAAATCACTTTTCGGTATCCAATCAGAATGCTACATTCCTGACAAATATTAAAGAAGTTGCCGTTTATTTAGCTACCATATATGGCTATCTTTCCATATTTGGAAGTAAGGGTAGATTCGCATTTTGGTGCTTACATTTTTTTAAAGCTTGAAAATTATCAAAAACTTGCAAAGGTTATTACAGCGAAAGATGAGTCTAATACTAAAACTACACTTCGAAATGGCAATGATAATTCTTTTTATATATTGATATTTTATCTCCACTTTGCATCTATTACAATGACGACATTAAGAAACTTGCTCGACAAAATGGCGGTCATACAACACACAGGTAGCCAGTGAAAAAAGATGCGGAACTCAAAGAACGATAGTTTCTGCACTCTGAACTTARCTAGCATGCCTCCTGTAGAGGTTAACGGAAGTCACCACCGAGAAAAGAGACTATTCATCCCAGCAGTATCAAGAAGATAATAGCGTTTCCTCGTGAGAAAATTTCATCCTTTCACGAGCTACTGCACGAAAGCAGTAGACTTTGCCCACACACGGTGTGCTATAGGAACATATTCTACATATCCACTAGTTACTCCCCTTTTCGTATAGTCAAATCCACGATTTATTACAGAGATTAGTTCCGAAAAACGCAAGGATTGTTATTATTTAGCAAAATCATCTCAGAAATGCTTTTCTTCGAGCTCATTCAGTGGGGCGCCAAATTATTAAAAGCTTTCAAGCAGTTACGAGAGAAACCTTTTTGACCTCCATCACTTTCTTAATTATCGAGTTATTATTGGCCAATTATTTGATGTTGGATGCCGTTAGCTATAACCTTTGTCGTGGCGGATCAAAAACGTTACCGGGGCCGGGAGGGGAGGGGTGATGATGTAACTAACTAACTAAACAAAAATAAAATTGAACAGATTTAGAGGAGCTGAAAATGAGGTATCTTTCGAATGAAGGCTGCCTTTGAAAATAGTTTTCAGAGCGAGTTCCTATGGTGAATATTTGTGCTTTATTTTTGCATTTTTGAACTCTGAAAAGAATGGGGGCTGGCCACCCTTATCCCTCTTGATCCAGCTTGCTTTWAATAGGTCTATAAAATGTATTATTAATCGATTGTATTGATTGTCTGATACGTGCAAAAATCGTATTTATTGATGAGAGCATTAATTTTAGCCGCTGATTTGAGGCGTTATTTTTCATCTATATTGATCCCAACACAATAACCACAACGCTCTACCCCTTTAATTTAACTTTATTCGTGTGAAAGATTGCCATGAAACCAAAAGGAGGCAAGCAGTCAWTGATCAAATCACGAAATACAAAGGGCCGAATAGGGCAGACGCATATACACGTGTTGTGTGGTCAGCGGTCCTGCTGTRTCGAGGCACTTTGGTTGCGTCTCTTTTTGGAAGAACCACTGAAAGGAAAACAAATTATCAGCGACATGCTACCATAGGCCGCCCAACTATTGCTTTAGATACAGAAAAGAACGAAGAATGCGCACGCTTTTACTATGTATGTATATCGGCGCGTGCTCTTGGAAAAATGCGGCTTACCTGTGGTGCTACGTCACGATCCCTTGCCTCGCAGGTCTACACACTAGTCTGTGACAAATTAGTGTAGTCCCGCGAGGCACGGGATCGTGACGTAATGCCACAGGTAATCCGCATTTTTGCTAAGAGCGCGCACCGATACAAATACATAATAAAAGCGTGCGCATTCGTTCTTTTCYGTCTCTAATGAAATAGTTKGGTAGCCTATGTAAGTACTGTGTGCCATATTTTAGATAATGGAAGGCTTGATTGTAACCGAACAAAAATGGCAAGTCTGATGGTAATCACGTGATCAATCACGTGTTTAATCACGTGCACTCACCCCAAAGTGTTTGGGAACAGGATGCTCACATCTTTTGCTCTCAATATTACCCACAGTGTTCCAACCAAACCCATGCAGTCTCTTGCYATTGTATAAGAKGAAAACGGGATAAAAGTCATCGCAGTTCATGTTGGACGAGATGTTGTACCAGTAGTGCTGACCTAAAAGAAAATAACAGAACTTATTGTAAATATGACCGCCATCTTGAATACTGACCAATTACCAACATTCATGGCCGAAACTCTTGAATAGACCTTATTACCAAYACGGCWTCCATCTTCAWTAAACCGTATTACCGRCATGACYGCCATTTTACATAAACCTCATTTACTGATATAGCGCCATTTTGAACAAAGTTTTTRTATTAAAGCGGCAACGACATTTAGCATTTCCATGCATATCATTAAAAAAATACTTATTTCCTACCCATCCCAACAAAACATCTTCCAGCAACCCAATTTGTATTCGCCAGGTCCTCTTCTTTGAATGGTATCTCGGTCAAAGATCCCTTTGCTCCATTCAAGATAACAAGCCGGTCTCCATATGAGTCGCTCGTCTTGTTCGTCGTGCATATGGTTCCAGGGTCTCTAAAGTAAGCTGTCATAACGTACATATTGCCCTCTCTGATCCATGGAGCTTTTTTGGCGYTAACCTTGCACTTTGACACCTTCACAAAGCGAAGAATTAATCAGTTTTACAACCATGCTCCCAGGGCCTTTATTAAGCGAAGGGATGAAGGGCCTGGGAACGAGGTCGTCGGCTTTATGCTTTTCCAAATTTATAAGAGCATATGATATAATATTGAGCTCCTCCACAGGCATTATTTATAGTCAAGGGCTTCCTGTCTTTTYCTGGAAGCCAGAAGAGGGAGAATGGGAGCGAATTTTTTCTTTCTAGACACTAGTCCCTAGCACCCGAATGAGGAAAAAAGAGTTGCCTGGGAAGGTGCTTTCAGACCATAGGTGTATTTTCTTGTGGAAATCAAATCATACCCCCATTTGTATTCCAGCGACTTGCCCATTTGAGCCGAAAAGCAACATCACAGCGGTATCTCCATTCAGCACATAACGATGTCCAGCAAAGTAGTTTTTGTCTTAAAAAAAAAACACAGGTAACCCAAATCTGATGTTGGTTGAGAAAATAATGGACAAAGAACTGATRCTTTTCCAAGCAGTAAAACAAGAGAACAAATGAAGTACTAAGGGAGCAATCGTTTTCACTATACTTCATAGCGGCCATCTTGGAGGAACTTCGACAAAGAATTTCTCATTAGAATCTGTTGTTCAATCCTCCAACATGGCCGCCGGTATTTTATCTTTTTATTCTCATGTGAATGGTTGAAAATGATCAATGGGTTCAGGAGAACTTAGTTGGAATACCATATCTCTACCTCTCTCGCCCCCCCCCCCCCCCCCCCCCCCCTCGCACTGAAACCGGACCTTGATCAGGTTTACATTCACCTCGAGTGACAGCCGTTGTTGTTGTGGCGAGGTTTGGTCGCAAAGTCCGGTTGTCAATCAAGTAAACATTGCAGGGGTTTAACTAATATCCTTCAGGGAGCTGATAGTAGTCCAAATCAAAGGCGCCTTACAGAATCGTTAAAAAAAATCATTGATCCCGATCCCACTTGAAAAACCTCTGATCCCAGATCCATTTGATTGGATCCTGATCCTAAATCCTGATCCCAACATTTCCACTATAGAATCTTTTCAATTTTTTCCAATTAATTTCGAGTGCTTGCTTAGGGTCTAAAACTAATATTTTCTAAAAAGGTTTTGAACATAAGGGTCTAAAAACAATCTATGAACAGATCAAATAATCCCCTCCCCCTCATAATTCACAATCAAAATTCAAATAGCCAGCCCCTAAGAACTTTTTTCGTGTATCTCTCGTAGATGAATAAAAACTCCTACAATAATGGACCGCAATTTTAAGAAGAATATCTCATTTATAGTACAATGCAATACTTTTTTGAAATACATAATTATCACCTAGGCACGGCTTCAGGTTATGAATTCATAATTAAAAGAACACGTGCGTGCTTTAGAAATTAACTATAGATCGATATGTGGATCTYAATGGGGTTAACGGTCAAAATTTTAGTCGCCAACCGTCAAATCGCTGKGGAGGGGAGAGGGGGKTTAACCGTCAAACRGACACCCATCAAGACACTCCAGTATAGGCGAATAGTTTGTGTACAGTTACGTTCATGAGTAGATCATTAATTAGCATTTCTTTCATGTTTAAAGCTTGCTAGCACCTCATCTTAACAATRAAGTTGTTAAGCGAAGATCGTCTGAGATATTGTACATATTGTACCGAATAGGACTGTCCCCTTTCTCATATGAACTCATTTTCATATGAACTTTTTTGTGGTTTTGTTGTTTTTAGTAAACTTCTTAAGCCATTAATTGTCCTTAATTTTTAAGCACATAAAAGCCTTATTTTATAAAAACGTTTTCGTTTTTGACAGAGAACTTGTTAATTATTTCCTTTTGATAATGACCATTTTGAAAGAAAGTCAGTAATGATCCATTTTTTCAATTTTTCTTTCTCTCTTCTTTTTTAAAGCTGTTTTTATTTTTTTCAGATTTCATATTGTACTATTTCTAACTAATAATGATTATAATAACAATAAATAATAATACTTTTTACAAGGCCTGCGGGCAAGGATCAAGAAATGATTTCAATATTTAGAAATATATGGTAATTCACATTTTTTGTTATTCAAATTCAGCCTTAAAAATAACARCAATTGATCATCAATCAAACAATGGCCTTAATTCATGTTAATTAAAAGAAGCGAAATTTGGGTCTTTAACGAAAACCCAACACGTCTTACCGCTACATGGCTCCGTCAAAGTCCATCCATTATCCCTGGCGTCCTGGGCTGTCTTTGGCAGTGAGCTGTACTTTGGAAATGTCACTAAAATCAATAAAAAATCTTTGATAAAAGCGCATGACCTATTAATATTAGTATGATTTAAGGATAGAGCAATCGCAGGAAAACCATGAAATCAAACTAAATACTAACTAATAGCGGCTAATTAGATGGGACCATTTTCCATTCATCTTTATTGCGTTCTGGTTCATTGATACTGACAATTTGTCTCTAAATAGCCGCTATTTGTTAGTATTTAGTTTGATTTTATTTTATGGTTTTCCTGTGGGGGAGTTTCCAGGTATTTTGTTGCTTTCTTTTGTTTGGTGTGCTTTTAATAGAAATCATATCTGGTCTCGTTTTCGGGTCAGGATGAAATAATATCCACTCTCGATTAAAATTAGGTAAGACTGGGAATTTGAGATCGTAGTAGAACATTTATGAGATCACCGATAAGAAAAATAAAGCATGAACAACATACCGTAAAGCTTTGTCCAATCTGCTTCTAAAACATGCAAAAAAACACATGARCAAAACGTAACATTTATGAAATATCCTTAGACGAAAACAAATACTCACTTTCTGGGTCGCTACTAAAGCCGTGGGAATATACCACGAACAGCAAGCATAAGATCAGGGACTTCATTTTCGATTGCGTTGTTGACTTGAAAAGAATACTGAACTTCTATTACGTGGTCGGTAGCTTTTATATGCCTTGGCAAGTCAAGATAAGGGGGGTGGGGTGGGGGGCAGCGGAGGCTTGTAAATGTCGTCTAGGGTCGGGTACGTACGTCTTAGATATTGAAGTTGAATACAGCCGTAGCTTCCTATAGATTTCTATAGAAAAAAATGTGGTAACGAGAGAAAGTTGTGTAAAAAGATAAATTTAACACCGTAAAAAAGTAGGTGAAATAACTTACTGACGTTTCGGAAGTTAATCCTTCGTCGGAGTAAAGAGATGGAACATGGTAAAGTGTGAGTTTATGCAATAACAGGAGCAAAGAAAGTAGACCAATAGGAGCATCTCCGACGAAGGATTAACGTCCGAAACGCCAGTAAGTTATTTCGCCTACTTTTTTTACGGTTTTAATTTATCTTTTTACACAACTGTTTCTTTAGAAAYACCGACGCAGCTCACACTACTATTTAACCGTTAGTTCCCACCATTTGTGATAACGATATTAGTTTGTTTTACGCAAACTGAGTAAGGATACTCCACCAGACTTTCTACAGGCAGGAAGTTTTTAGTCCCAAACTCAACGACTTTCTCTACTTTGGTCTGTAATTTTCAAGACGATCTAGACCACGACCTCAGTCTTGAGCCCGGAGGGACTCTATCAAAAAGACCCCTAGAAGATCCCGGAAATCTAGAAAAAAAGGACGTGGCTGACTGATTTTTAACCCCTAAGAGATTGCACAACAAATAATGTTAAATTAAGTGCAGAAAATGCAAATATCCAGAAATTCCAAATTGGCACCCTAAAAGATTCCCAATCACGATTTTTTATCCCTAAGAGATCCGCATCTCCGCTAGCTACTTTTACTACTCCAGAACTAAGTACAAACATGAGATGGATGGTGATTCGAAAGTAAAGCCACTCGCTTTTCCGATTCTAGACCTAAATCCGATATCCTGTTTCCATCAAATTTCCAGTCAAAACCAAGACGATGGTGGTCTTAACTATGGGAGGGTGTGCCACACATGAAACTACATGTAGCTACAATAATCAAAACAGTCTAGCAATCTAATGTAAACATATTGTGTGCATGGAAGATCACAATAAATTCATTTAAAACCAAGAAATCATGGTCAACAGGCYCGTAGGCTGCCTTATTTATGGGGCCTCTCGTCACAATGTCGTCAACGTGTTGAGTGAYCGAGCCGTAACCATCCACTTGTAGCAGGCGTTCCTTGCGAGTCCTTGATATGCCTTTAACTTAAAAGTTGAAAAGAGAAAATCTCTAGAATGAAATAGAAAAACGAAGTGTTAACAGCAAAGAAAAGAAAAAAAGAAAGAAAAAAAAAAAGAAAACGAGAAAATTTCTATAGAATCAAACGAAAAAGAAACAATAAACAACCGAAAAAAAGAGAAATTCCAGAGGCAGGACTCGAACTCAGAACGTTCACTTCAGGAGAAGGTGTAACCCCCCCGGAATACATAAGAAATAATGAAAATAAAAAAACTAAAAATATGGGACGATTCCCCCGAGACATTCTATGAAGCTGAGGCGGCGAATCGGCTTACGTTACGGTTAGAGATTTCGGCTCTTCCACGCTATCCCGAGTGAACATAAAACTTAGTCTTAACCAAAAGGCCAGGGAGTGAGGGGGTAGCCGCCCACTAGAGCATACCTCTAGCTACCCTCTTAGACCATCGTACTATGAAGACACTTAAGATATTTAATATCTAATTGGGATAGTCTATTCGGTGAAGTTTTATGCTAATATATGACGTCACTAAAATCCTTAGGGAGCAGCAAGCCAATCAGAGCTCAGCTCATTGAGGTAGTCAATTCGGTGAAGTTCTATGCTAATATGTGACGTCACTAAAATCCTTAGGGAGCAGAGAGCCAATCAGAGCTCAGTTCGGGATTTAGCAATGATACAGGGTTTGCATAATCATTCTTCAGTGGATTTATTAATTGATGGGGGGTGGGGATGGGTGCTGAGTGCTGGTTTGCGGTCGACTACCGATGTACTCGATGCAATAAGACGGTTTTCACCAAGCTGTTCAATTGACGTTGTTGTTTTCCAAATCATCACAGGAAAAGGTACAGTTCTTATATCGGTCAGACATTATTAGTATTCGGATAAAAGGCACAAATCTCTTGAAATCCTTAAAGTGGTTTACAAACCAGGCAGATATTTGCTGGAATTCAACGGAACACAATTAAAGACCTCTAGAACGTTCCACATTTTCGTTCTTGTTTTGATGATGTAAACTAGTTTTATACATAATATTGAATATAAATATAGCGAATGTTGACAACTTGAAGAGGATGAAAAACTGTAATCAGGCCAATGATGTTATTAATTTTAAAACATGGATTTAAAAATTTAGTTTTTAGTTTAGATACTAAAAACATCTTATCAAGAATTTTATATGTTCGAGAATTAATCATGAGTCAATAGATACAGAAAGATATCTTTGATTACAGCTAAATTAAAAGCTCGTAGGACCGCGAATCTTTTAGATGGATATTTATTTTATGGTTTATTTTAGGCAGGGAAACAGTCAGGCCCCACGGGAGGAATGATCATGCAGCAACCATCACAATAGGTTCCGTGTCCCCTGGGAATCGCCGCCTGTTGTGTATTCATAGGTAAAGTAACGTCCCATTTCCTTGCAGCGTATACAAATAATTCAGAAAACGTTGTATACTGAAGACAGTGTATTCGAAGTTTCCTAAATTTCTTAATGGCCTGAGTCACTGCATGCGGTCCTGGACTGCTATTTTTTTATAATGCGGACCTAAAAGTGTGTAAGAACTGTCTGCTAGTTGATGAGTAACAACAAAAGATTTTTAAAATTAAACAATAAAAAGGGAAACACCGGACCTTTTAAGCTTGTGGGGGGTTCGTCCAAACCCCCCCCCCCCCCCCGTGTATCTTACCCCCTCCCCGTGTATTTAAGGCGCGTTCGTTTTTGAAGCGCGATTGTCGCCTGTGTTTCGAATATGCTTGAAATTTAGCTGCAACTCGCAGCGATCGAAGACTGCAGGGCTGTTTACATGTACGAAGTGAGGTGCGCGAGAACAAAGTAGCAATTGTCGATCGCGTGGCTGAAAAAATCGCAAGTGTAAACGGGAGAGATAAATGAAAGTGACGTCATCCCTCTCGCATGCACTTGTTATCAGAATCTGAATGTTCATCAATGGATGAGTACACAATTGTAGTTTTATGATTTTTATTTTCAACATTTTTTCTCATCTTAGATGTTACATCCGCTTAAAGAAACCGGAAATGAAAATGCACTTCCGGTTTTATTTCTTCCCGCCACTAACACAGATGTTATTGTACGGCCAATCCATGTAAATGTGTTGTGTTGTCAAGGGCCCGGCCGTTGCTAGGCATTTGGGTGAGGTCTCCGGCTTAAAGAAAAACTAAAAAGTGCAGAAACAAATGTTACTAGAGACGTCACTTCCGGAAAACTGGTCAAGTTTTAAGGTATCTGGGGACAGTTGTTTTTAGTACCGACCATTACGAAAGAAACGCATCGAAATGCAGTATATTTTGCTTTGATCCGATCAATATTTTGTCAAATGAAGGATAAAAGACCAAAATATGTTATATATAGATTTCATGAAAATCGAGTATAATTTATTCAAGTTATGGGGAAATCCTGGAAAACACTTAAACTTGAATATTTC